ATTTATTTATTTATACATATGTATATATATATATACATATATATATATATATATACATATATATATATATATATATATATACATATACATATATATATATATATACATATATATATATATACATATACATATATATATACATATACATATATATATATATATATATATATATATATATATATTACGGCAATACTACCGCGAGAACGCCAAGGTTCGCCGCTCTAATACCAATTGATAATACTCTAAAGTCTTATCTTAAAAGAAATGAAAGAAATGATAGAAAAGGGGATGAAATGGTAAGGCTCTAATACCAAATGATAAGACCCTAAAATCTTATCGTCGCTCTAATACTAAATGATAAAATCCTAAGGTGAAGAAAGGGGAGAAAAGGGACTGATAATAATCGCCTCGAGGGGATCGGCCTCCTTGATCGCTTCGAAGGGATCGACCCTCCTTGATCACTTTGAGGGGATCAGCCTCCTAGGGTTTGTCCATAGAGTGGAATAACATTTCATTGATTGATTGATTTAAAGAAAATGTTACATCACTATTTATAGAGTTCTACCTAGAGTCCACTAGGACTTAGACTCTTAATAATAAATAAATATTAAATAAACATCTACTTGATTCTAACTGAACTAAACAGATTCAATAAACAATTGAACTAAATAAACTCAATAAACATTATTCAAAAGCTCAGAAAAAGGGTTCTAACAGGATCATGGGCATGGCAACACTATGGTACTTCAAAGGCATGACTTCTATAGAGCCATCGATCCCTTGCTTGCATGGAGGGAGAGCACCTAGTCATGAAAGGAATCGAGGAGAAAGAGAATATAGAGGTAAACCCAAATTATCGAGATAAGACTGAAGGATACAAGTTAGGAAATTTCGTAAGACCAGTGTCAGTAAGCTTCTCATCAAAATAGTCAAAAGTGGAGAACTTTATGTCAATGCAGGAGTACTCAACCAAGGAACAAAGTAGACAATATGTGGTGTTATACCTTTTCTACTTAGATAAGTAGGTGACAAAGATGAAGAAGAAGATAGTATAATCTCATAGGGGACCAAAACTATTAGAGATTTGCTTCAAGTCATGGAGAAATTTTTTTTTCTTTTCGAGCAAACTTCTTGCATTCTAAAAGTTCGATGGCAATAAGAAGACGAATCGCAGTAGCTAACTCAACACAAGGGTGCAAACATTTTGGGTACTTCGGAAGTGTAAGCAAAGAACAAACGAAGGCCAGTAACCAGTTCGATGCATGAAGTAAAATCCTCGAGGAAGCAGGAGAAGTTGAGCAACCTTTGTCTTCTCAACTCTTAAAATAATGAGTGAAACCAAGTACACCAGTTCTCTTATTTGTCGAGCAAATGAACTATGCACTGGTTTAAAGATCATTCAAGAAAACTTAGTAGAAGATAATAATGATTTAATCCTCACCAATAGTGATCGATAGCTATTGAGAGGATACTGTCCACTTTATTTTTTAATAAAATATCAATCGAAAGCGTAAGTGATGTAATCTTATTTGGAGGTGACAACTAAGTAGAAGAAGAATCGATAGAAAAATTTTATTGAGAAAAAATCTCAAAAACTTTAAAGCCTGCAATCCAAAGTTCGTTAAAGTTACAATAGATAACCACCCAGTTCAAGTGGCATAAGATGCTTGAGGGATTGCTGCTTAACAAATGAAGGTATTTTTCTTTGTTTGAAGGATCTACAGGAACCAATAAAGATCAACACAACTCTATCGATCCTATATTAGAGTGAGAGTCGTTGGCGAATTGAAATAGTGTAGCGGATCATAATTCGACTACTTAACAATAATGGTGAAGTGCTTCTAGGTGCTAAGATGCGCATTGCAATTGGAGTAGAAAATTGAATATTCAGCAAATGTGAGGAGATACAGTGTCTGCAAAGACTTCAAGGAGGGTGTTTAGAATGTTACAGATAAAGCTGTTAACAAAATGTTTGATGTAATGCTTGTGTATATCTATGTCTTTTAGTTTTATTTATACTTTGCACGACATGTAAAAGGCTTATAGTAGGTTTGGTAACCATATTTTGGTTGACTATTATGGTCGTTTAGGCCTGTAAATATAGGTTATATAGTTATCACAAAGGTAGAATCGCCCAAAAATAAACTATCCAAGCAGTCATTTAAGGGGATTTCTAGCTCTGTAAAGTACTATAAAGTATTAATCAACATAGCTCTCTGGAGTTATTTGGGTGGCATATGGGTGAATGTGTCTTTGGAGTAGTGTATAGGGTTGGTTTGCTGTCTTGTTCCGTAATAGTATCGGGCACCGGTGAAAAATTTTAATCATGGCATACCATCTTGGTCCATTTTATCGCTTGACCATTCAACACTTATAAAGTCTATATTTGTAATTTATATTACTAATTAAATATTTACTAAAATGACTACTGATCATGAGTTAAATATATTCTTTAATCCATCTTTTTTTTTTTATGTTCTTAAGGGATCATAAGAGATTTCGATGAGATTACGATAAAAACCGGATTTGAGTAGAATTTTATAATAATCTGTCAAAAATTATATCTAATCATTACCTTCTTCCTTCCAATTGTGTTGAGTAAGAATATGTCGTTGTCAAAAAGCTTATGCTGCTCACTTATCGAGTCTTCATCACGAATGACCGATGAATCCAATGTAAACAATGACAATAACATCTCCTTCAATTCAATAGTTAACTAATAAGAGAAAGGAAAGCACGAAAAATGAGAATCTTGATAAAATAGGTGACATTTCGATTCCCGATGACATCATGTTATTGCTTTACGTGCTTTCGTTTAAGATTAGAATCAAATGGCATTCGAGTCCGTGCAAAATTGTGGAACGGACGCGATGATACCATCGAAGCGGTGACCGAAATCTGTTGGGTGACCTTACCACCTTCCCCTATTTGGATAAAGTGCGTAGAGAACAAATAGTACTTGGGAAATTTTAAAGCGTCATTAATCATATTGTCACCGGTCTCTCTGGTTGCAGAAGATTCGGAGACTCTTGGTGAACTTACCGCCGGTCCTTCGTTCGACTAAGTGCCTTCAACGTATACCTTCTGTACGATCATATTGTAATGTTTGGTGACCGAGCTTCTAGTCGCAGAATATTGACATTTCGGTGAACTTACCGCCGGTGCTTTGTTGGATTAAGTGCCTCTAAAAAAATTTTAATACTTAATCGTATGGTGACCTGACTCAACACATGCAAAAGATTTGGTGAACTTCAGTGCGCTTACCGCTTGTCTTTGGTGCAATAAAGTGTCTCCAAAAAAAAAAAATAATCCTCTTAAAATCATCAAATGTCGGTGATAGTACTGTCACAACGGTGACCGGACTCAATTAAGTGCAGAAGATTCGGAGACCTCCCGTGTCCTTACCACTTGTCTTTGGTGGAATAAAGTGCCTCCAAAGAAGTTTAATCCCCCTAAAATCGTCAAATGTCTGTGATGATACTCCGACCTGCGGTGACCAAACTCGAACAGATGGATTGCATTCCGCTCTACGAGCGCGTTTCTCGATGAATTATCTAAAAGATGGTAGCGAGGCAAGGATCTCATAAGCAGCAATCAGGATAACTTCGACAATTTACATACTGTTGCGACGTCTACGTGAGCACAATAAACTATTTGATTACACCACTCTGGATTTGGCATAAAGAGACGAGCAATTGTCACGACGAGGTGACGAGCAGGTCATGTTTGATGTTTAGTATCATGCAGTTAATGAAAGGAATAAATCAAGAAAGCTAATACGACTCTGTATGCATTGTGAACGAAAGACAAGGAGAATGCACCGCAAGCTGAGTTGCGTCTTCGATCGACAGTGGTGGCATGTACTGTTACATCAAGGTAATGAAAGTTTGATGATTTTGCAGTGATTTAATTTTTTTTTGGAGGCACTGAAGCCCGTCAACGATAGGAGGTAAGCACACCGAAAGGTTGAACATGATAGACCCCTCACCAACATGACAGTGATGGATCCAGAGTCTCGTCACCCCAGGTGAGAGTATGGACGTGCACTTCTGGTGATTTTGTAGTGTTTTAATTTTTATGAGGCCATTTGACGAACTGCCGTTGTGCAGTAAGTTCACCAGAGGGTCCACCTACTACCTCTCTTTTGCTGGCTTCGGAGTTCGATCACCGCGGGTATTAGCAAGACTGCAAACACGTTTCGTGCTCAGTCTCAAGACAACTCTGCCGAAGCATAGGATGCAGACCATATCAATCGATAGGGAAGGCAGTATGACGAGCTCCTAAAAACATAAGAGAGATCCGAACAGAGATGTGGAATTTGAATCCACTTGCGCAAGCAATCGGCTGCATTGAGATGCAGAGGATTAATAGATACCAAAATGATGTCCTTTTCAATAAGCAGAAACTTCTTTTGATGCAGTCCAAAGAGGCAAAAACGTCAGCGCGTGGCAAAAGTCTATGATCAGACTATGACATGATGGAGAAACCCTCATCATCAAAGTCCTTGTTTTCTTGAATCAGGATATTACAAGTCAAGATTAACGTCGTCAGGTTTCACTACAAGAGCAACAACACAAACTGTTTCGAGGTCCAGTTATCTATAAGAGTAATGACAAACAACTGACGAGTAAGACGAACACTAGCACGTAACTACGACTACCACCTTAGAGTAAAAGAGTAAGTTGTCTTTGCAAGTCGATAAGTCAGCATATCATTCAGTCTTTTTCTCACTTCAGCCTAAAGCTTCTATGGCAAAACCTGTAGCATGTGATGGATTCAAATTGGCACTGCTTGGTGAGGTCTAAGACATTTCAGCACTTGGAAAAGGGAGACCCTCAACTCTCCAGTGTCATACATCTGATTCATCAATTGGCGCACGAACAAATAGCTGGCCGTGTAAGGAAACTACTGCAGATGTTTGATGTGGATTGATTCGTGAAGGCAAGGTTATGACCTGGTTGAAAAAAAGGTTCCGATTTTGTTGGTAACTCAGCGAAAATATCACACAGTTTTGATCCCCTGGAAATAAAGTATATACCAACCTTTTTAAAGGGGGTGACACCCCAAGGATTATCTCGCTGCTCGGGATCGCCAGAAATAATCAAACGTCCTGCAGGATCCGACTGAACTTGCACCTATGTACGACCAAAAATGAGTCCATTATTTGTTGCATGTTGGTTTGCAAACAAGCTACAAGCAATGACCCATAACCTAAATGCTTTCAAACTAGCAAATTACAGTTAAAAAAATTCAAGAATGATGACAACAGAGTGCGGCCTGTACCTCTTCACGCAAAAGCCCAGGGACTAGGGCATAGACTTCAAAGAACTCCTTCTGCAGAAACAAGCATTAGTTTCAAGTACTCAGGAAAATCATAATGGTGCTATATGTTTCTGCTCATTATGTACATCTTCCCTGTAAATAGAAGCTGCTACACTGGAGACAAACAATAATACGAAAAAGGGTTAGAATCTGTTGCTTGCACTTACAGTCCTCAGAACATTTATCTTCACCCAGTCTGCAGGGGCACCGGCATCAGTAATTATTACATCCCCTCTGCACATAAAGAACACAATCTATAATCATTTATTGAGTGAATAACATTAGGCAACTAGAAAAACTCACAAAGGCTCATGCCAAACATGCAGCAAGGAAAAGGAGATCAAATTCAGATCAACTCCTCAAAGTGAATGATCAAATAATCAATCGAAAATCTAGTCCTTGTAAATTTTGTTTTTGTTTCTTTCAGGTGATATATGACATCAATAATCAAGAAAAGGGGAAAGATGGGGAAGCGGGGTAGGGGAGGGAGGAATGAGCACTATAGCAAGGTCATGTTCATAAAAAAGTCTGTTACCAAAACACTTTCTGCAATATCCTGTGGCTGTTCTTTTTCAACCAATAGGCATCAAAGAATCAGCACTGGTTATTTGCAACAAGTTTGTTATTTCAAATTTTGCAGATATACAAGTCTTGTCCTTAGTCAATATCTATGGTTAACCACAGTCCAGGTAAACATATACAAATTACGCACTCACTGTGACTCATCACATTTGCATACTTGAATTTGTTACGTGTGCATAAAGTAACAAAGCATATTTAACGTCTCTTCTATTTTTATTTGAAAGTACATAATATAAAAAAAAAACTATGCAAGTCAACTTAGAGAGGTCTAAACAATGTTCCAGATGTCTCAGATTTTTCCAAGACAATAGCCAACCAAAATAAATAGAAAAGTTAGACATCAAAAGTACCTGATAACCTCAGGCATTCACAATTCTAGATTGTATACACAAATTTCAGTTTCTTGTAAAGTTGAATAAACAAAAACAAAAGTTGTCTGAGAAAGAAATTGCACAAATACTAAGAAACGGACTTAACTGTCGTTTAACAGGGTCTGTTTTTGCAACTTTTACTGCATCCTCTAGGGTTGGAGCTTTTCTCTTCTTCAATGTGCCTATACAAGGTAAAGTGATACAAGTAAATAGATGAACCCTTTTATTCAAGCAAAATGATCAACCTAAATAAAAGAATGCTCTTAAATTAGTTACCCCTCTTCATGAAAGAAAGAGAGTTCTTGTCCTACAAGAGAAAGAGTGCATCAGTATGTGGGGAAGATCATGCGTAGCACTTCTTTAGAATACATGCAAACCTTAATTATTGGATCCCCAACCTCTCCGTTAAGTAGCCGTTGTGCATGCCATCCCTGCATTGCTCGGGCTGCAGCATCCCGCCTAGCTCTACCAGAACCTGACCCTTGATTTCCACCTACCTATAATGAGAAATGATAAAATCATAAATCTGGGAAGGACTTACTGAATCGTACAAATTCAAACTTAGGGTAAGGGATTGTTTAAATAAATATAATTCATATGCTTATAAGACTAGATCTCAATAGTGGCAAAAGATCCATGTAACTGACCCCAAATAGCTGGGACTAATGGCTTTGTTGTTGTTGTTGTTGTTGTATATGCTTATAAGACACTCAGCACCATGGAAGGACGGAAAGTCTGAATACCACTAAGAGTAATTTATGTTATTTGAAATTGACTAGTTCTAATTTGTGCATCCTCCAAGGCACAGTACACTATGCTTTGTATGCAAAAAAAAAAGATGATTATGTTATTTGCAACTAATTAGTTCTAATTTGATCAAGAATCCAAGGAAAGTCACTTGCCAAAGTATCATTATCAATGATACCTCTATCTCATCCAAATCATTATGTTCAGATTCAGTAAACTAATGAGAAACACTGGCAGCCAAAAACTTCTAACATGTCATCCACTTTAGAAACTAGTTGCTATATGATAAAAGAAAAATAATTGCTTCCTCTCCAAAAATTGGTAAATAACATATTATCAGAGAAATTTTCTCATATTCAAACTCAATAAAAGAATTAGTCACATTACTGAACAGAATTCCTGCTGATTTTGGCAAGTATTTATCTCTACTTGACCATAAATTTAATTGGATCTCTGCAGAACACTTCTAGACCACCATCTGTCAGCATCTCCATCAGGTGTCCATTTAATCCTAAACAATTCATTTCCTCCGGACTCTTTTTCCCAATCCAAGGCCAATCATACCTGTTCCATCTACCATATTCTGTATCCGTTGTTTGAGCCCTTCACCCATCTTCTAATTAATTTAAATCTTACTAACTGTGCCTTTAATTAGTGAAAGGACAACAAAAGGCAAGAGACTTGTTAACCTCTTCTCCATAGATGCACTAGATCTCATATGATGAAAGTACGACACTAGAACATAGCTTTGTTATGTTCTTTATAATTATACAGCTATATATGATAATTTTGCAATATGAAAATGAATGAGATGAGTCTTACTCCCTCAATTACCAATAATGAGATGAGTCCTTGTGGTTATAGCACATGAGGACCAAAAATTAGAGCATCTCTAATTTTGTGAACCACACTAAAAATATGATTGCAAAATACGTTTGTAATCAGTTAACATTATAATTATGATTTTGACAACATTCTATTTATGTAGCATTCATTGCCAATCCTAAACTCTAATTTTTTTTCTTAAACCTTTCCCAAAAGCTTAACTTAATGTGAAGTTCTCATAAGCAACTCTCATCCACTAGCAGCTACATATTCAAGTAACATGGCTCATATGTAAAGGATGATCAGTCTTTTCTTTTCAAGACATTCTGAATATTTTGCTTCAACAATAAATATCAACATTACATATGTTGACTACTTTTCTGATAATGATTTTTATGAATTATGCTCCATGATAAGTAATGATCTTTTATAGATGCTTTTATTATCTATGTCATAAATGAGCTAAGAAATAAGCTTATTATCTATGCCATAAATGAGCTAACAAATGAACTCAAATTCTTATGGTACATTGTGAAGATTTATCAATTAGCATAATCTGATTTTAACCTCATTTTTTCTTTCCCAAATCTCTTTTGATTAAGTTTAATTACTTTGTTACACCAAATTAGATCCTTTTTTAGTTCCTTTATTTGGTGCAAACATTCAACTCTATTCAGCAATTTTAGATTATAATACAACATCAAGGATCCTACAGTTATAAGAGGAACAGTGATCGAAAATTTTGACTTCCGTTGACCATTTCGATGATCAAGGTGATCCAGTCCAAACTGTGCTAGTGTTGCTATCTGAGTATACCGTTATGTCTTCCAAAAAAAACTACCTGTTTTTATTACTTTCTTTAAGTAGTTAGCCTCCTATATCTGTCCTTTAGTAATTAATGCAATCAATTTAATACTTTCTTTTACATTTGTTGTCAATGATTTCATGACTTGCGTTTGGTACCATTTAAGCACACAAATGTATATATCTTCTTAGTAGTTTAATTCCAATTATTTTCTAAATTGCAAGCAGTTTTTATGGAACTTGTAATGATTAGTCATATTTTTCGTTTAAGAGTTGTTTAAACAGGATGTTAAGATTCCAATCAGCCAATAAATGCTCTCTTAACTAACCTTTTTCTTCCAAATAAGAGCCCTCCAAGGCAACTCATAGGGAATTAAAAAAGTTTATTGTGCTATTTAACATTGATTCAGACATCTGCTAAATCCACAATAAAAATCTCCAAATATGCAATGAGAGAGCACACCAGAGGCATTCGATGAAGCTGGTAATCATTCTAATCAGGATGTTATAACAAATAACAAACCAGTACTTCACAACTTGCTATGATGATCCACACTAATTACAAGCTAAACAACCAAATAATATAAGTAAAAGTTGCAAATTAAATTACCAATAGATCCTGAAAGATTAGATCTGGCAACCAACTTAAGTAAGAAATATGGACCTAATATAGCATATTAATTTCACATTCTTATAATGTTCAATAAGTTTTAGTTGATATCTAGCTGTAAATTACTAGATATATGATGCTCAATAGAGATCCCTGAGGGTCTACATAAAGAACTAAATACCACCTCACTTCTGCACCAATAGTCACCGAGATCGCCTTAATGTCTATCATCTTTTTGGATCAATCAAAAGGACCATTCTAAGTTGATAATGGGTCCATCAAATCATCTCAATCTTCTGATAATCATGTGATTGGAAATAATCTTCATCCTCTTCCACCTTTAGCCAAGGTTAACTAAATTCTCAGATCACACCCTATGGGTCGTGTCGGATGTGTGTGCAGGTCAGGTGCTCAGCAGAATCTATACAACTGTACATTTTTCTAAAGCTCATTTTTCCTGTGAAATAAGGATTAGGTAGCTGGCCTCATGCCAAACCTTTAATTCATAGTAAAAAAGGCATGCTTTAGAAGCCAGAATACAATCCTAAAAAAATAGCCTACCAACTCAGAACTCAAGCCGTAATGTGAACGCGCATCTTTTCCAGGATGTTCAGATGCAATCTACTATTTTTTAAGACCACAGCAATATATTATCAGACTATTGTTGATTATAATATACCCTTTTATTTTTATCAAGTATCAAAGAAAGAGATAAGATAAGTGAACTAAAAGATAAGCATGCTTAATAGCTAAAGGACCACCTCTTACAAAAAAGATACAAACTTTCCTTGATTCTCCCACATCTTACAGAAAAGATAGTTGCTTCCTCCTACGCGTACTAACATCTGCACCCATTTCCATATCTGCCCCAGGCTACTTATCTTTACATTCTTTATTTGGTGCCTTTTTTGTCTTAGTACTGGGGTCTTCAATGCTATCTGGATCTGAATCTTTCAGTATTAAAATTTCCTTTACAGTCTTGGCTTTCTTGCATTTGTCCTACTACTCGGGACTTTAAAAGTTTAAACAATCTTGATTTGATTCTTTCAGTATTGATATTTTCCTTTACAATCTTCCTTTTTTGCATCATTATCTTTAGCACTTTCCAGAAATAACATGGACTGAAGTACATGATAAATAGCATCTGCCAACCAAGAATACATCATCTTTATCTCAGACAATGCAATAGCTTAAGTTGATACTCTCCCAGAAGTTTGCAGAAGATTGAGCAACCAATATCAGGAATTTATCTACGCTTCATTAAATTGTTGCAACCTTGTTGTATTGGACACTATCATGGTTTCAGGTTTTAAGTTACCTAGGTGTAATTCCAGAAAATAATCTTCTCTTACTCCAATTATTTTGTTAAGAGATTCAGTAACATGGAAATTATATTGCTGTCTCATATAACAGTTCTTGATACATTAGTATCAGCTCAATTGGGCAAGAAGCCTCTGGCCTCTCCTTTCTTTCACATAAAACCATGTCTTAACCCAAACCATAGAACAAACAAATAATAATAGGGCAATTAAATAATCATTAGGATTGATCTAACTAAGAAAGTAACCACAACCAACATAATTGGGTTCATTTCTGCCAGACCAAAAAGGAAATCATAGAAGGCAAGAGTATGAAATTAAACAATCTTTATTAGAAGCCATTGTTCTGGAGGATAAGACAATAAACAGCAAGAAGAGCTATCAACCAATAGCTATGACAATTTTTTCTAAACCTGTCATAATAAAGCTTACCAAAGAAACCAAAGACCCAGAGCTCAAAATTAATTAGACAAGAACAACGATTGCAGCCAAGCAACAAATTGAATGAATATGTCTCGAAGATCCTATAAGCAAACTCTTCTTCGTAGTTCATGATACTATTGGAGTTCCTTAAAACTATAAAAAGAAATTACTTAGATAGAACCATTTCTTCGTCTAAAACATGGAGACATCTTGATCCAGACTAGAGGCCACAATGGACCCTTGATTTCACATATAAATGGTGTCCCTAACCTGCTGTGTCTCAATGGTTTAGATTGGATGATCTCAGTTGGAATATGGCCTGGAACAACTGTCAACAATTCTTTTAATCTTACTCAGTTGTTCTTGAACCATGATTTGTTATTAAGGATACCACTTTTTACAGAGTTCAATGACGGCAAAAGGTCCATATAGCTGACCTCGAATAGTTGAGATGTCCTAGATGTGTCATTGTAGTTGTTGTCATCATCCTTGCACCATGGAACTCACTTTTTCAGGGGGTGGATCACAATGCCGTTGTTCGCCCTATCCTTGCCAAGTCCATCATCCCATTTTGCCAGTAGCTTAAACTGACTGAGACCATTGCTCCAATGACCTATGCCAGATTGCCAATGATGAAGTAGGCAGGGAAGCCCACATTTTGGCTGGTTAAGTGGCAAGAGAGGGAGAGCAAGAGAGAGAGAGAGAGAGAGGCTTCCACTTTTAAGCATTGTATACATCAGGTTGCATGGCCTTCCCATCTAAATGTTCACAAAGTTTGATAGCCCATTTCAGATTTCAACTGACTTGTGCATCCCAGCTGATTCTAGTAGAGTGGATTTCCTGAACAATCCAAATGCACAAACTCAGACATTGACAATCACAACCAGTCTGTGGAGGTTGAGCACTTCGAACGTTATGAGTCACCTTCAACCCATAATAGGGTGTGGCTTATTGAAGCAAAATCAAATTGGTGCAGTCCACTCTTAATTGAAGGATTTATTTTAATTATAGTTAATGATTAAGTCTACTCTGACCTCGTTTCATTTTGGTAAATATCTTCCATTTTGTAGGATCTTTTATAGTTCATCATTTTTTTTTCAATGCACTGTTTAGACAGCCAGTTACCTAAAAAGATCTGAACGATTTATGACTAGGTTGAATTGTCGTCTCAACGGCTAAGTAATTCACTTGTTGCAAATGTTTCAACTTGTAGCCAAAGATTATAATTTAGAATATTAGCATTGGCATCAAAATCGGGATTGTGATTCAGTAGTGACAATAGATTCAAGATTAGCATGATCAACTGGATCACTAGATCAATCAGAGGGCATGAGAATACATATCAATCTAAAAACAAAAAATATAAAAAAGAAGCAAGTGAACATTGCATGACAGAGGTACATTCGGTAGAGTGGCACAAACGTAGCTAGCGATGGATTGATGTAGATTGATTATTGGACATTGCATGACAGAGGTACACTATCTTAAAATGCACAATAGTTGGCACAAAAAATAACAAACCACAGACCCTTAAAAACTTGACTCTTATGAGAATAAATTATGAACACAAATTTGATGTGGAATTAACAGATAATATAATCTCAATATGTACATTCGGTAGTCAGAAAAGATCACAATATACAAAACATGTCAAAATACTTGACCTTTAGAAGAATAAATCATGTCATTAAAATGAACCTCAATAAGTTGAATATGGTGATTGAGAGTAACAATAGATCTTATGCACAATGATTAACTCCCTTATAGGTCACAAGAATAATAAATGTATGAACAATATGCCTTCATCCATAGGTTTACACCGTACAGGTTTTACATTCAGAGAAAAACAATGAAATTTTACCTGATTATCAACACTCATAGATCCTGGAAGATTTGCCATGGAAAATTTTAATTCACCAGTTTGGATCTTATGTTTCTCGTACTCAAGGAGTGCCTGTATAAGGGTCAAAAACAAGAAAACAACAATGCACATAGAGTAATATTGACCAAAAATGCACCTTTTTTTTATATTTGCTGAAAACGGCAATTAAACACCAAAAGGAATTTTATTGTCAACATTTATAGAACTGCATCCATGCTAGTTTTATGGCTACCACTATCCCAAGTTAAAACTAAAACTAGGGAACTGAATGATATGCCTCATTGCACAAAAATGGATGATATTTTCTTTTATTTAAGCATTAATTCAATTTTCAAGACACAAAACTATATCCATGAAGCTAAAACAATTGAAGAAACTTTTAATCACTAGTAAAATATAAGCATAGAGAAATTGGAGTTATTAAACTCCAAGATTTGATGCCAAAGTCCTCGAGTAATTAAGTTAAAACAATAAGAAAACATTAACACTAAGTGCATATCTCTGCAGATTCACTCTCTTAAATTGTTATGTTAATCTCATGATTTTCCATGCCAAAGAAGAGAAGACGAGTAAAAAGGCACCCATTGAAGTATGTTGTTCAATATATTAAAGTACTCATGCCATGATGGAGTGTCGGCTCATGTTGTGTAAAAGCATGACCAGCACAAGCCAACTGGATCTTACTTCAGTTTAATCTTTGTTTTCTCCAATTTGATGGTGATTGGCGACTTTATACTTCCTAAAAGAAGATATCTAACTGTTTAAACAGAAGAAAGCATTAAAAGTGATATGATAAAAGAAACACTGGAGGACCACATTCATCTGAGTTGGCTCAGCTTGCTCCTAAGCCAATTCATTTATTCAAAAGTGCAGCCACAAAGTAGGTTTCTCGGACAATGGAGCACCATCTTTAACTTCTAGAGTTCCCGACACAGGGAAAGGGAATGTTCCACTAGTATATATAGACCCAAGCTCGAAACACAATATAGACCCCAACATTGAGTCCACTCTTTTGCATGTTAATGCCACCAACATAATCTTTCTCAAAAATCCACAAATGTTGACTTCGGACCAACATTAAGTTCACTCATTTTACATTTAAGTTAATGCTGCCAACATATTCTTTCATACATCCAAGTGATCCTCTTAAGCTAAATATTAGTAGATCAAGATGGTACAACTAATAGCAATACATTCTAAAAAAACAAACGCCACATGATACTTGCGGAAATTGTTCTTTGTATGCCAAGTGAGCTAAAGTCAATACAAACTCTAAACTACAAGTTTGGGAATAATTACGATGTCTACTGGAAGCCATATACATGATGACAAAGTGGTCTTCTAGATATATATTGAAAACACTAAGTCATGAACATCATGGTTAGACATAGCAGGTAGGAACACCTTGTGTAAACCATAGTTGACTATTAAGAAGCACAATGAAGAAATCTTAGATTGACTATCAAGCTTTAGCAAATAACATCAAACCTTTTTGCAGATAAAGAAGAGAATTGTACAGAAGTGTGAACCCTCACAGATACAACTAAAAAATAGTCCATAATGTCCCATCTCCATGAATAGTTGGGACACGATGGCTTACTCTTTTTGTACATCTAAGGGGGTTTGCATGTCTGTGCAACTCTATTATGTTTTCTGGAACACTACAAATTTGCCGTAGTTGTAAATGTGTATCTGCGACGGTCACCATTTGTCATCATTGTCATTGTAGGTGTATATCTATAAGAGTCTGGGATAAATTTTAATTTCCCAGACCCAAACATCTACATATTTACATACTCACAAACAAGGTTTAAAATCTCGGTTCAATTTCGATCTCAATTGATGACTGAACCAGAAAGTATCGGTAAGGATCAATGTAATGAAACTCAGTATGGGTCAATACTATCTGGGCCAAAAAGGAAGAGAAAAGAGGATGGAGGATGGAGGATGAGGCAGAGGGAGAGGCAAAGAACTGGTTGAGAAAAATTAGGAGGCAAACATTCCAACACGAGGAAGAGATTAGGCAGAGGAACACATGAGAGATACAAAGAAAGAGAAAATAGGAGAGAGAAAGTGTGACAGGAGAGAAGAAAAAAAAAAGAGAGAGTTGTCATACTAGTACTGGCTGACAAGCATGGTTTTTTAAACCATGCTTACAAATATGAACATATATTAATGTTTAACTATAAGGAACACACAATACATACACCAAAAATGTAAAGGATATAAATGTACAAGCAGATAGCAGAATATCCAACTACTTGTCTATTGTTGAACAACCAGTTTGAGCAAATATTGAACAGTCTTCTACACCAACCACACAATGCACGAGTGGGCTTTTAGATGCCATATTCCATAAACATATTTAAAAGGACTTTGACCCCTTCGTAGCATTTAGAAAAAACAAAAACACAGTACTAAAAAAGATTGCAAGACAAAGATCGGTGCAAAAAGGTTATTGTTTGACAGCTTTTCAATAAAAAACAAATAGACATGGCCCACAATACTTTGTAAAGAAAAAATATTTTAGTCTAAATTATACGCAAATATTTGAAATTTTACAAAATAATTCCTTCACTAAAAAGCCCCACAGTTGATAGGCAAAACAGCTTTTAATCATCATGAAGAATTATGCAGAGTTGAGCTCTGAACTACTTAGTGAACATCTAAAGCAAGTTGCCAAGATTGATGACAGTAGATTAAGGTAATATGATGATCTAATGCATTACCTTCTCGAAAAAAATTCGAAATGACCAAGAAATTGTTGTACAGGTCCTGCATAGAAAGTGAGATCTATTAATACTTCATATCCCCCCAAGAAAAACAATGCTTTTCCACTTGATGTAGCAATACCACACTCCTAGACAGTTTGCTGCTTATATTTTCCTTGTGAACTTTTAGCATAATCATCTCTGTAGTTCATCTATAATATACTTCATGTAATAAAGGCAAATAAAAGGTGCATTTCATCAGCATAATCATCTCTGTATTTCATCTATAACATTTCATGTAATAAAGGCTAATAAAAAGTACATTTCATCCATGTTACGAACTGTTTGTCTTGCTCATTAAGTGACTAGTTTAGGCCGTATTGATAAACAATGGTGCAGCAGAAGATCAAAAAGGAAATCTTTTCAAAGAATGGTTTAAAAAAAATACACTACCAAATGAAATGTTTGAGTTGACAGGATACCTATTAAACAACCAGCTATTAATTAGAAATTAGAAATCTTCAAGACAACAATACAATATCAAAATAAAAAGTTAATTCACCATATTAATCCTAGTTATTTTCTCCTATTTCATTTGTCTGTTGATACTATTTAAGAAATATGATATTTAACTAATGTCAAAGTTTAATTATACAAAAACAACTAACATAACTTGATTACTGGAATAGGATAGTTTATTTTTCCCAAGTTCAATTGTCTGTACAACTTATATCATACTGCTATTAGGTGTCCATTTAGGATGGTTTTCTCAGCAGCTAATTGATTTACCCTTACATAGTCTAAATCTTTTATATGAACTACCAGCAGAAATAAATATTATTTCTTGAGTACTAAGTCGTGGATTCATGAAAATTTCATTAAGTATTTGATGATCACTTTCAGATTGTCAAATCCTATTGGAAACAACAGGAACCCTGTTCTTTGATGAGTCATTACACTTGGCAAAAGGAATATCAACACTAAATGACATGCAAAATGCTGCTGAGGTAGCCAAGCTGATCCATTCCACTCAGTTAGACCTTACAAGTGTATTATAATTGATCTAACCAGTTGCACGAACATTCGCAAGGATGCATATATTGTAAATGAATTTAAATCCATTTAATGTAGAAAAATGATGATAAATTGATCAGACTGGGTTTTAGATGTTCATAAAATTGTCCTCTAATTCTCCTTTAAGACCAATGTATAAATAAAACAATTCTATAAGAACAACAATGAAAGACATAAAGGCTCACTTTGGAGGTTTGAAAGACTCGCCAACTTGACGCCAAAGCTTGCATGCTGTCACCTAGCAATCAAAGGTCAATTATGTCAGCACCAGAATTAAAAAAAAATTTACAAAACTGCTAAATGGACATTCACATATAGAAACCCAGATGTTCAGAATCGAAGAAGTTCAGTGTACAGTGAAGTCCTGTTTTAAATAACATGGCAAAGGTAACTAGTTACTAGCATTCACGTCATATTTTCCTGGTCACAAGGATCCACTAATATTACAACTTTGTTTTTACTGTTGCAGTGTGTTGATCCATGTGGAGAATCAGTCCTATGACAAGCAAAATCACTGAACAATTTCGAAGGAACATGAGGCAATGCAGGTGAAGTGGGTTGATCCATAGCCAACTAAAAATGTAACTAGCTAGAGCTCTGAGCAATATAAAAAGATGAGTTTATCACCTAAATCTCATATGAAGCACTAAGTTGATCAAACTGATAATTGATCAGCAATTGTTACTCTGATAGTCATTAAAGATGAAAGCAAAGGGAATAACTATTAAAAAAATTGTGAATTGTTGTTATTGGTTGAAATGATACAGTGCAAAGCCATATCTCCCAACTATCTGGTATCAACCTTGTGAATCATTTCCTGCCATTTAAGAAATTTTGCTATTCAAACTAGAGTGATCAGATCTCTTTAATTGTTTCTAACTAAGACATCACTCTTGTTGCCAATATGTTCCTACACCAACATCCATGCTCATATCCCTCAATCTAACAGTTAACTTCCAGTGAACCATGTACTGAAAGTTTGCATGTCTAGAATGACAAACAAGACATTTCAACTGGTGGAAATTAAATGCAATTTAGCTGTAAAAATGATGTCAGGGACTCTCATACACAATGCTGCAACTGAACATTTGACATATATTTGAATTTAATTATTAATCAGCACTTTGTTTCAAAATGTAGTTTGAGCAACCACATGCATGTGTGGTTAAATGTTCACTCTGCATAAAGCTATGCAGCCCATGCGATGCCAAACTCGTATATATAAAATAAATATGACTATCATGTCCTACAAGAGACAGGAATGTACACCATAGTAAAAATACATACTGCAAATTAGGAACTTAATCTAAGAAGTTCACATAATATGCCTATCAGGGCTGTTCTTATTTACATCCAAAGCTGACTAAGATTTTATTTTCTTTGATAAAGGTAATAAAAATGGAAACCACTTTAGCATAGTAATGGAGAACAGTTGTAAAAACCAACATAAAAAAATCATAGCTAAGCAATATCTAGAAAACAGGCAGCCGAATCACAAGGCTCCCACTAATATAGAGTCCAAGGAAGCAAGGAAGTGATTGTTTCGAAAAGTAAAACATCATACATACCTGATCATAACCACCCAATCTAGTAACTGTTCTCCACAACCTGCCGAAGAAAAGACCAAAAACCCTTTTTTGGAGTTTGAACTTTAAATTAAGACGTCAAAGGGATGAACCACGGCTTACTTGAGACAATTGAGTGCTTCTCCATAAAATTTAGGCGGTTTGAACTCCATGCTCCTCTCCCGATAGAAATTCTCCAACTCCTTCATGAAAGCAACCTGTTCTTCCTCTGTGCCAGAATCATCACCATCTGAGTAGGGTTCAAAGATGAACGACTGATTTGAGCCCTCTATAGGGGTTGAATTATCTCCTGCTGTCTGTTCCTCTTTTGAGGGTGTTTTGGTGTAATTATCTCCAGGATGAGGCTCCCTCACATCAGTCACTGCTGATATGGTCTTATTTTCTGATGTTATAGTTGCAGCCCCATTCTCTGCTTCAGCCTTGACATTGAGAATGCCACTTTGGTCAGAATCGGTCTCCATATGAGTCGTTGGCATGATAACTTGATCATCTGTATGCTTCCCCAAAAATGCATCATTTGTTTGTTTCTCCAAGGACATGTCATCTGTTTGCTTCTCCAAGGATGTGTTATCCTTTTGTTTCTCGAAGGGTCTGTCATCTGTTTGATTGTTCACGGGGGTGTCATCCGCTTGCTTCTCCAAGGGCGTGTTATCTGTTTGCTTCTCCAAGGACATTTCATCTCTTTGTGTTTCCAAGGACATGTCATTTGTTTGCTTCTCCAAGGGTATGTCATCTGTTTGGTTCTCCGAGGGCATGTCATCTGTTTGCTTCTCCGGCAATGCATCACCTGTTAGCTTCACGGACAGTGCATCATCAGTTTGCTTCTCCGGCAATGCATCACCTGTTAGCTTCACGGATGGTGCATCATCTGTTTGCTTCTCTGATGGTGCATCATCTGTTTTCTTATCTGACGGTGCACCATCTGTTCGTTTCTCCAATGGTGTCTCGACTGTTTGCTTCTCAAAGGATATCTCTTCCATTGAATTCTCCAACGGTGTGTTGTCTGTTGTCTTCTCTAAATGTGTCTCCTCTGTTGGCTTGTCCAAATGTGTATCGTCCAGTTCCTTGGATATATCGTGTTCGGCAGCGATCTTGACAGATTCAGATTTCCTGGTCAAATCAGGCTCCGCTCCCAACTGAGAGCTCTGGTTGTCTGTGTGGTCCTTTGGCAAAGTTTGAAGGTCCCCACCATCATCTTTGGCATCAGTCACTTTGTTTTCAGGAAGCACTGGCATTTCTTGCTCTGGACCGACGGTAGCCATTGGCTCAGCCATCATTAACTAAAGGGCTCAAGAAGCCAAGATAAGTGAAAAAAACAAAAAGAAATCAGCAAAAATTTATGATGGCAAACAGAAATTGTACACGATCTATATGTTGTTGTAACTGTGATTTATCAAAAGCTCTTTGCATCCCTATTTGCAATCTATGGTAAGAATGGTATCTTGACGTTAGAAGTAAAGGTCCAACAAGAAGAGCAGAAAGACCATATCAAAACAATGCAATAGCCACAAGCCCTACACGATCAACAGATTCCAATATTCCTGCTCTTCCAAGAACCTAACCACTATCAACGAAGATGATTTCTTGCTAATAAATAAATCAGAAAATCATAAATTTGGACGATCAAATCACACAACACCAACAAACAATTCCAATATGGACAAATAAATCAATGGAACTGAAGAAACCAGATTCAGAGGAATCTTCCGCGACCCATGCTAAGAAACACAAAAACGGGACACGGACACAATACGGCACGGACACGATGATACATCATTGTTAAAAAATTAGGACACAGACATGGCGAAGATACACATGTGTGTGTGTGTGTATATATATATATATATATATATATATATATATATATAAACATATAAAATATGCGATTAACATGAGCTTTATAGTACTAACACTAATAACAATCCTCATTATAAAGTTCAAGAATTCCATCTGAGCCTAGCATCTCTGGAACACAAAAAACAAAATAATAAAACAATATGTTAGAAAAGTACAGAAACCATATCATATAATATGAGCTCAGGAAAATTGGACAAGGAAATGATCTCTAACATATGTAACATATAACATCAAGTAAAGCATATGGTATGTGATTTCTTGATAACAGCAAAATACAATTTCGAAATATATGCTCATGAAATCTGAAGAATGTTTCATATAACATCAAGTAAAGCATATGGTCTGTGGTTTCTTGATAACAGCAAAATACAATTTCGAAATATATGCACATAAAATCTGAAGAATGTTTTAAACTGCTGTTGAAGCCTGAGTAAGACTACAGTTCTTTAGATGGCTTAGTATGTTAATAAGAAGTCAGATACCATTGACACTAGTGTGGAACAGGATCCACAAAACCTTTAGGAGTTCATCTGTGTGTTAAAAAAAATCAGAATCTTGTTTTAGTTAATAATCTGCACAAAGCAAAGAGAGAGGACAATAGTTAAACCACAGTCCCAGAATCTGAAGAAAGCAAAGAATCTGTGTCCTCTAAACTTCTTATTTATAGGAGGAACACCCTGATCAATTTGCTTCTCAAATCTAGCACTATTCCATGCGAGCCATACCTATGATTTTTTATGGTTGAACTGGAAGACTTTTTCTTATGAAAGTTCGTTCTATGCACCCGAATTCACCCAGGGATATCAAAAGCAAGTGGCACCAGATCTCATACGAAACAAGCCCTGCGACAAATCAAGATCCGGAGAGGAGAAGGGTGGGAAATCTGGGACCAAACCCAAAGATCAAACCAGAAACAAGAAATCTGGGCCCTGATAAGCAGAAAGAGAGGATCGCATAGGGTTCGGTATAGTATAGTAGAAGCGGGCAAACTGCGGGTCAGCGTGGTACCTTGCGACGTAGCAGTAGAGGGTGAAGAAGAAGGCTTCGTCGGACGTCGGTGACGTCGCCGAGGGCCCGAGGATGCGCGACGGGTCGTGGTGGTCTGGTGGACGCAGGTGGGCTCGGGCAGCGGCAGAGCCACTTCCACAGTCCACGCCGGTGAGGCAGAAGGCTTCGCCGGTGAAGAAGAAGGCTTCGCGACGCAGGTGGCGGAGGCAGGTGGTCGAGATTTAACGCCGGCCGACGATCCTATTCGTAACGAAACAAGCAAAAATTCCGTCGACGAAGAGATTTCTTGAATCAAGACACGACCAACGATCCTATTCGAAGCAGCTCCAATGGCGTTTAGGGTTTCCTTCGCTCCAAAAAAACCCTAGGCCGAAAAACCAATGCCTTCCGAAATAGGAGAGAAAGGGGGGAATGAATTGCATCAGGACACGAGCCCGATTGTGGAATACGATTACCGCTACGTCAGCTTACCGCAACCATTACCCTGCCAAAGTAAGCAAAGATCGAATGTCTTTCCGTTGAAGATAAACTGTAGTTCTGTTAATAAAAAATATAGATATAAATTAACAAATAAATTTAAAACAGGTCTAAGATAATTACGAATTAGGAATTCTTATTAGTTTCAAAGTAATTTAAATATTTATGTATCATAAATAAGACGTTCGAGTCTACCTCTATCAAGACATGTGATATGTTAGGATATGTTTAATTATTTTGATATAAAAATTATTTTTTCTCCAATCACATAATGTCAAGATAATAATATTTATCACATCAAAATCAAATCTTAACATAAATATTCTCTAAATCAAATATATCATATATTTTTATCTTATTAAGTATTTATTAATTTGAGTATTGAACGTATCTTATTGAAAATCATACGTATCATATCGTGATCGAGGCATTCGGATTGATTAGTATATTGTTGTATAAGCGATAGGCCTCGTACATCAATTGATATAATATTTTTAAGTGAATATTAATATTATGCATGAAATAATAATAATAATATGTGTTATTAATTCGTTCAAGAGAGGAATGAGAAAAATATAATTTCCGTTGATTTATTTTATTTTTCTGGCTCAGATGAAGATCGAATTTTGATGCAGAACTCGTGTGCTTTCAATGGATTCCGAATTGCGAAGAAGGTCAACCCTGCGAAATGTTATTTTGACCAAGGTCAACGAGCACGGCTGCTATTATTAAGGAGAGCAGAGTCGGAGGTTGTTGCCTGGGAATGATGGTGGGAGGTCGTTAACGGTAGTTAAGCGTCTCCACACGCTCGTCTCTAAACTTGGGCATGGAGAAGACCTATAAATCCTACCCACGAGAGGCTTGTGAAGGATCAAACAAGCAGAGAAGCTATTGTATTTGGAAGGAAAAGAAGCAGAGAGGAAACACAAATGGAGATCGTGAAGCAGATGTTGTTGCTGCTGCTGTGCTTCCCATGCCATGGCATGGGAACAACAGCGGGTTCGGGGAAGGACAAGAGCTCGGGCACCTTCAATGTCAAGGATTTCGGTGCCAAGGCTAATGGCATGACTGATGATAGCAAGGTTTCTCTCTCTCTCTCTCTCTCTCTCATTTTATGTGGAGAGGTTGAATCCTTGTTCCAAGAACCAGAAGGTTTAACATAGGAATGCAAGAGTTCTAACTGGTTGTGCACCTGCAACTCACTCTGATGCCACATGCAGGCGTTCCTGGCAGCTTGGGATGCAGCTTGCAAGTCATCCGGTAAGGTGAAGATTTTGGTGCCCAGCGGCACATACCTGCTCAATCCTGTTAAGTTCAGCGGCCCCTGTCGAGATGTCCAGACCTTGGAGTTCATGTTGCAGGCAAGACCTCTTTGATCTTTAAAGGCTTCATGTAATCTTACAAGCGTTGGAGTCAGTATGCCAATGTCTTCTCGTGATCAGAGACAGACATTTTGCAGGGCACGTTGAAGGCAACGACGGACTTGAACAAGTTCGGGGACGGCGAGGGCTGGGTGCAGTTTGGACGTGTCGACGGGCTGACCGTGACTGGTGGCGGGACCTTCGACGGCCAGGGCGCCGTCACCTGGCCCTACAACAAGTGTCCCAAGGAGAAGAACTGCAAAGTCCTACCAACCGTAATCGATCCATCTCTTTGGCCGTGCATATTATCCCCATCTATACTAGCCGATGTGCGTTCTCAGCTTTCTTCCTGGTGTTCATGGCGTGTGCGCAGTCGGTGAAGTTCGTGAACACCAACAACACGATCGTGAAGGACATCACCTCGCTCAACAGCAAGTTCTTCCACATGGCGCTGCTGGGCTGCCACAACTTCAAGGGGAGCGGCATCACCATCACCGCCCCGGCCACCAGCCCCAACACCGACGGCATCCACCTGGAGGGCAACTCGGGGGTGACCATCGCCAGCTCCAAGATCAGGACCGGAGACGACTGCGTCTCGATCGGCCACGGCAACTCCTTCGTCACCATCTCCGGCATCACCTGCGGCCCTGGCCGTGGCATCAGGTCAGGCATCTGCATCGGTACAAACGCATCTCAGCCGTATATTTTCTCATATGCCGTCATCACAGTGTCGGAAGCCTGGGGAGGTACAAGGACGAAGAGGATGTACAGAACATCGTGGTGAAGGACAGCAAGCTCATCGGGACGATGAACGGAGTGCGCGTGAAGACCTGGGCCAACTCGCCGGTCAAAACCAGAGCCATCAACATGACCTTTGAGAACCTGGTGATGAGGAACGTCGGCAATCCCATCGTCATCGACCAGACCTACTGCCCCTACGACAAGTGCGACAACTCGGTGAGCGATGAAGCGACACTCTTCGTACTCGTATTCTTATCGTGGTCCTGCTGTGGATGGAAGAGATTTCTTATGCATGCAGGCGTGGTCCAAGGTGAAGCTTAGCGACATCCACTTCAGGAACATAAAGGGGACGACGACGTCACCGGTGGCGGTGACGTTGAAGTGCAGCAAGGGGATGCCTTGCGAGAAGCTCAGCCTCCACGACGTCAACCTCCAACACGCCGGTCCCGGGAACATATCCTCCGCCTGTCTCAACGTCAAGGCAGAGTACAGTGGCACAAACAACCCCCCACCGTGCGAGTAATACATATAGCATGAATAACTAATTTACTAGGCATATACAAGTGTTTTGGCATCCATCTAGCCAACAAAGTGAGGCAGGGCTACAAGACGGGATGATATGATGAGAGTTGTAAGACTTAAGAACTTATGTGTTCCTGTATGGGATGAGATGAAGTGATGGCTCTTTGATGTCGCCCTTCACCTACTGTATTGATGAAATTGTTGATATATATATTATTCATTGCGATACCGCAATATTTTCTCCTCAACAATGTTGTGCTTTGACCTATAAGACTGTCGATGCAGTTTGTGTGACATAACTTTCCTCAACATCATCGTGCTATAATAACAATAATAATAATTATAATGGACAGTTCATGTGTGATCGCTTAAGTTCTTGCAAGCAAAATTGATGTCCTCCAATTCCAAATGAAGCTAAAAAGATCCGAGTTGCTCAGGATCCATCCATCAAATTAGTGGCTCTTATGAATGATAAAACAAAAAGAATTAACCAAGATAACGGAAGTACTCCTCCCTAAACATCATGTTGGCTCGTATTATAAGTTTCTGGCATTATGCCGCTTATTGGAAAACAAAAGCAAATAAACAGGAATTAATCTCAAAACAACTGGGGGTGCAGTGAAACTCACGTAGCCTTCGTATAAGTTCGAAGCCAATCCATGGTGACGCTCTTTGGTCTCTCGAGTGGTAAACCAAGTGCTCGGTCCCATATGAGCTGCATCAATAACACCCACTCTGAAGATTTGAAGAAAACAAAGATAAGTTTGAAATCATGTGTTGAAGGAAATGTATTTGAACCTGGGAGCCTATCCCGATGCTTCTTGAGACTCCAAATAGAACAGTGAAATACCTGCAAATATTAAATATGACAGAACTTAGGATAGCTGTAGCTGACTCAATAACAATTGAATTGCCACTATGGACTTCATGGTTGAATGGTAAAGCAGTTGGCTGATGTCCCCAAACAGGTTATAGACTAGGTACTATGGGGTCAGCGATCAGCTTATAAACAAAAACAGACAGTCCAACAGGCAATCCGTTACCTATGCAGTGTCAATGTCTGCAGCCATACATTATATGTAAGAAAGCTTTATTTCCGTGACTCAAACCTTTTACTTGTGTCAAGAAAAAAAAAACAGAAATAGGTGGGCAAGGTTCGCACTCAATAAGCTTAAAAGATTAAGAGAAAAAGAGAAACTTGCAACTAAATTTTCTTATCCTACATAATGTCATGTCAAACTCCATAATTCTATGCAACCAGGGTGGTAGAAAGGTTAAAAAGGTGGTCTAGTGCAACTGAAATCTTGCTCACCAAGGTAACAAAGAGGTGACCTTAACATGACATCAAGGCTCTCACTATGCTTGGTAGAAAGACTACAAGCTAAAACACTGCATCATGATGTCTTGACCAGAGTGTTCAAAACTTTTACCAGGAAAACAAGTACAAGTACCTCGTTAATGTATTGAAAACAACTTACCTTGCTTCAGATAATCCAAAATACTTCAGCAGAACTCCACTATGAGCATCAACATTGGGCCATGGGTTTTTGACCTGCAACAATACCAGCTTACAAGATTACTCTAAAATAATGGTAAGACAATATTACGAGTGTTGAAGCACACAAGAACTTGTACTAGAATTTCCTGGACAAGAAAATATCATGTCTGGTTATTGTTCGGCACAACATTAGCTTTTTGACTGTATATATTAGACCAAATAACCAAATTGGTTATCCACTGAATCTTTTTCCCTGACAAAATATTGCCAATCAAATTGTTTAATAAGGGGTCTGGCAATGCTACCTTGCCTAGCTCAGTAAGTATAGGAGGAACGACTTCATACAACTTCGAGACCTGCACAAAAAAAAAAATACAAACAAAAGCATTGTTCAATCTGGTTCCCAACTCCAAGTGAATAGAGACAAACCAACAATCAGAACAGGTATTGTGGAATTAACCAGCTTGAAAAATGGATCATCAGGCAAGTGCTTTAATGCAAATTCCCTTTGGCATGTATATCTTGATCTGTCTTCCGTAGAACTCCATGCCCATAACCAGGGACAACCTGTAGCAACAGAAATTGCAATTAAAATGATAACATATGATGCATAAAGTAAATACGAGGTCCATTACATGAAAAAAACTGTTAGCTCTGTACCGAGCATATATTGCTAACAGAAGAAAATAGAATAAAAGTTTTTTCTGGCTACAACTTTATCAACTCAAATGGCAACAATTAGTATCAAAAGTACGGAAGACTTGATCTTCAAGTTTAGTGGCAATTGGGGAATTTCAAATTTGAAATCAATTATTTTACCTTTTGCAATAATTGGACTTTGAGCATTCATCACATCAACAGAAGACTAAAATACAACTCCAATTATATGCAAGAATAAACAACATGATAAGGAACTAGGTACCTTGCCACTTTTTAATGTTTTCCAAACATAGTCCTTCAACTGATCAGTTGTAATGTCCTCTCCACATTCTTTGACAAGTGATTCTATCCACAGAAGAACTTCCTGAGACAGTAGAAAACAAATTAATTCACAAACTTTAGAACTAATGATAGATAGCATCTAACCATCTCGATAATTTTTTTAGATGGCATAAAGAACAGTCATGGCCTTATAGCATAAGTAGAACTAGGAGCAAAAAAGTAAGTTGGCAGTCCAAAATATCTTGTTACTCCAGCAAGTATTTTGGGCAAACTGGTAAAGATTGTTGAAAAATCATAAGCTACTGCCTTCACATTATCTTTCTAGAACTAGTTAGTTGAAAACCAACACTATGGTACCAAGATATTCCAGAATATATCACAGCCTAAGAGGTGATGCATAACATGGAGAAAAGTGCCACCAAACAAGTCATACCTGATTAGCTAAGCCATGAAGTGGTCCAGCTAAACCATTCAGTGCAGCTGCAAACGAAAGGTAAGGATCTGAAAGAGCACTGCCGACCTGAATATTGTGTAAATGATTCGTAGGTAAAAGTTTTGCAGATGCAACAGATAACAAGCTCTACATTTATCTTCAATAATAGAATACTTGGGACTAAAATATTTAAATCAAACAAAAAATAAGATGCAAGTGAGAAGACCAATAGATTATAATATCTCATTTACCAGATGAGCAGTATGTGCACTAACATTTCCACCTTCGTGATCGCTGCAAAATTATATGCCTCAAAATGTCAGATATGGACCTATACCCCCAATATAATAACAAACTTGGGCAAGGATAACGGATTGATCACCTGTGTATAGTTACATACAGTCTCATCAACTCAAGCATTTTGGGATCATCAAACCCAAGCATGTGAGAAAAATTTGCTGCATAATCCAAAGAACTATCGGCAGGTATGATTTGACCATCCTTGTAAATTCTGAATGATGCAGAAAAACAACTCCATCAATTTCTAAACATGAATCTCTGGCGCTGACAATTTATAAACAATAATGAACAAAGACATGTATGCCATATAGAAGAACTAAAATTGATTTCTTTACACATAACAAGATACTAAAAGAAGTTTTGTGTGTTCAGGAAACTAATAAAGAGCAAGTCAATTTGGTGAACAGTTGACATAATCAGGCAGCTCGCCAAAGAACCAGCTAAAATGAAATTATATCTGTGTAAATGAACAAATTTATAGATAACTGTTAAGCTTCATCTTCAGTAATGAGAGACTACCAGGCAATAAGAACTGTATTAAATAAAACGTAGTTCAAAACTTTTTGCTGGTAAAGAGATACTCTACAAGACTGGAAGACTAGGTAATAAGTCATCAAGTAGAAATACAATCTGGGAAGTTGCAGAAACTTACCTCCGGTAGACATAGGAAGCCACTGTTGGAAGCCGAGCAATCAAATTCATAGAATCTTCATATGTTGGCTCCCAAAACCTATCAAGAATAGTAACTCTTATGTGCTCCTATATATCAATCAATTGAAAATAAATGTCGCGAGCACTTACTTTGTTTTTGGCATCCCTTTCTCATATGCCTTTTGAAATTCACTTTCAACCTGTGATGGTATAGTAAATTCTGTCTTAAAAGGCATTATAATAATTTGATTTCTTGAATCACTTTACCCTTTTTACAATCTTAAATTCTTGAATCATGGGAAGATGCTAATTTTGTTACTACCTTAAAGATATACCAATTGAAAGATCACCTTTAGGAAGATCTTTTTTAATAATTAAAACTCAAGGAGAGAAAAAAACTCCAACTAGCTTTTTCTGCCAAAAATGGAATTAATTAGTGAAAAATTAATCTAAATCTGTGACTTGTGAGCATGGCAGCTAGGAGGTCAGCTAGGTATCCTGAGACCGAACTACTCCCACAAGACCAGACATGATATTACAAATTAAAGTGAAATTGAATTAGAATATAAGATATTGGGGATGCATAAATACCGCTATGTGAAACTATATATGACTTCAACCGTATCATATGCATTCTTTCTAATAATTCATAGCCAAGATAGTCTAACACTTCTTTTCTTTCTTCTACTATACCAAAAAATGCATCTTTAAAATCTGGCATTCATTTAAATGGCCTTTTCACAATATAATGCAAAAGTTATAAATTCCAGAGTCCAGACTAAATATATCTTGTGAATTTAGCCCAACCTAGTGCTAAAAATGGTCAGCTAATTACCTGAAGTGCCATAACTCCACTAGTGAACTGTGTCATTGGATGAGCTGTGACAGGGAGAGCATCAATTGCTCTAAAAACATTATCTGCAGCCAAGTTTCCACACAAAATTCAGAAAAAAATCTGAAAGAAGAAAAGTTCAACTACTCATATGTGTTAACACATGGCTTAATAGAGTAATAGATCCATGTGTTGGCCTAACAAAGTATTAGGTCCATGTGTCCTAAAAGATGTCATTGGCATACATATTAGATTATTCTAAGAATATCTGTTGGTTACGGCAGTCAATTGTCAGTATTATTGCTACTTTGGAAGACAGAACAAGCACAATGAGACTTACAGTGTAAACTATGGTAGGAAACCAAACTTTGAAATTTATACGGTGACCTTTCATGCCACATTACTTGTATGTAAGACAACCCTCTCATAAATTATTCATGTGATAAATTAAAGGATCTTAATTCTTCACAACTATGAAACAGCATAGCTATATGTATGTCAGGTAATCTCTATGTTGTATAAAAATATTACAATAGTGATATCCTAGACTAGCCTTTGACTGATGTACCAAATAACTTGTGAAGCAAGAAAGAATAATCTACCTATTATTCAGGGATTCTTAATCTACAAGGTTCACCTGAGACACACAAGCAATACATGTATTCAAGCACATTGATGAGCCTTAAAATTCCTAACATATCTATGATTATGAACACAAGTGGCCAGTCAATGTCTTTGAAATATAAAAGAATACTGGAAGAATGTAATTACTACCAAAATATTAGCTGCAATAATCTCGTTAACCATGAAAAACCCGAAAAATATATAGTCAATAAGGGAACCTGGAACTTTTGCACGGCTCTGTAATTCTGCAGACAGCCCATCGACTTGCTCTTTGTTAGGTACCTAGGGTAAAGAAAAAGTAGTATAGCCTGAGGTATGGAAAAAGATTATGCTTTTAACCAAACTAACTAAAGGCAAAGACAAGACACTTTATGTAGAATACACATCATAGAGATAGAAAAGCATAGAAGAGAAAACTGATAGCAGGAGAACCACAAAGTGTTCAGGAAGGCATGAAATCATATTGGTGACTATGTTTTCAGTTGAGTAGTATTAGTGACCACCAGGCATGCAGGTTTCACCAATGAGGAAACTGTGGCACCCTAAGAACTAAACTCCCAGCAAATGTCTAAAAAACTATGAACTAGTAACCAAATGACCTTTGGCATATACAGAAGACCTAATTTTAGAAACCATAGCCACAGCAGTCTTGTGTATATTAGCACTCTTCTAGCATTGCTAGTTAAACCACTAGCAAAGAAACTTCCTTTATCAGTCTATTAAGAATCTCATATCTACTCATATACAGTCTCCTATTTAAGGAACCAAAATTTACAATAATGAGCACTTTCCAGAGAACCAAGGAGACAAGGAGTCAGTATTAATGCAATGATAAACAAATTCGGAGATCACCTTTCCGGTCAAAAGAAGCCATAGAAGACCCTCAGGCAATGGCTCCCCTCCGGGGCTTGCAGCAGGCAATAGCTTTTGACATTCAGGAATAGAAAGCCCTCTGAATCTTATCCCCTGAAAAATAATCAGCATGTCTATCATATTACCAAACCTTGGAACAAATAATAAATTTAAGGAAAAAAATCATGTGCTTAAAAGCAGAATTCTTAAGTAAACTGTCTGTACATAAAGGGGGATTATGGAAATTATAAGTTCTCAGCACAAATATTTATATTCAGAGGAAATGCACCTCATCAGGATCAAGTAATGAAGTTTCCCAAAGCAAACCTGTCATTCCCCTCATCCCACTGATGACCTGCTCACATGCAAGTTACTAGTGAAATGGCAACTACTCACATGTATCTTAAACTGCTATGTGATCAAATACATATACCATGTCTACAGTGATATTTCCAAGTTGAACTTTTCCATGTTCTGCTTTCAGTTTCTTCAAGCATTCCTGAAAGAAAAAAATAGTATTGCTAGCAAAGCATAAGAAACAATCTCTTTCACAATTTCATTACTTCTACCTAATGGAAGTTTCACATTAATGCAAACTAGTTCTAAGGCATTCAAAAAATTAATGCATCCCAAAAAATGCCCTTTAATGCTTGTCAATTGTATGTTGAATATAGGTAGAAGAACAAGTCCATACAAATTGTTAGCTCCTTCCTTTGCCTCAGCATTCACATACCATGATTCAAGTTCACAGTTGCATAAATAAGAATAAAATCCAGTAGAAAACTTAACGATATGAACCGATGAACAAATTCACACCCATGCAAATATGGATCAATGGAAAAGATGATATGTTTTCCAAGCAAATTGTCACGTAAAACAAAGCTTAATCAATATCCTATACTCTCTTTGTAATTACATAATTATTACAGAAAGAATACTTCATAGAATACTTGAGAGATAAGATATGAATGACAGAGAGATACACAATGATAATAGTTGTTTTAAAATTTATGTCAGACATTAAAATATGTTTCAAATTAAGTGCTAATAGTTGTTTTAAACATCAAAACAATAATAAGCCAAGACTAAAAAAAATCATTAAGTACTAAATTTTATCGTGGACTATCAAGTCAACACCATATGCTCCTCCAGCAATTATGACTGGAAACCATGATTACAAAATAAGGATTGAACTACTTCAGAAAAAGAAAAAAAAACAATACCTGTTGCTCTGGAATCATATCCTTCAATTGAGCATGAAGATCCTGCAATGTGAAACATGGAACATGCAGCAAACAGTTAAATAATAAAGGAAACAAACCAAAATTATGAATTTTAGCACAAAAAGGAAGAAGATACAGGCAAGCAATCTAACAAACTAGCTGTCGTGACAGAATCATGAGAATCGCTAGATTATGAAGAAATAAAGTAGAGATGATCAAGTAGATTATTCATTGGTCCTATGATAATTGCCTACCCCACCCAGCACTACTAAGATCAATGCCAAATCCCGAGATATGGCTTGACAACCCGACCCTTCGACGAAGGACCAGCACAAGAAGGGCATGAACCTGATCACCATGGACTGGCAAACCTTCAGTCAAGGGTGGCACATGTGGCAGGGAAGGGATTCTAGGCAAATTAGAGCGGTAGATGAAGTGCTCTCCATGTTGTTACAGAAGTTATTAGCTAGTGGCATGAAGGCCAGTGGCATAAAAGAAGCTATAACTAAAGAAGCAATGGGACAGACATGATCTTGTCTCTCTTCTGCTTTCACCACTATTAGGTAACAGGAGGGGAGAGAGCTGACACAACATACATCCATTTCTTTCTTTGTATTAATAGCTTCTTTTCCACCCCTTCCTCTATGTTATACACCAAGAAGCGTTATAACACCGTGCAAGCTGATAAAAATCATGACAAGCTGCCTCATTTTCAGTTTAATCCAATGAAGCCCGTTTCACATCACATGTACCACCCTCAAGTGGTGGTTGGTCAACCAAGCCCATCTCTTCTTCCCATGCTAATCAACTATCTCAGGATTGGGGTGTTCAATCGTGATTCAAAATTTAATTCCAATATCCATAGCATCTGGTGGGGACGAGTCTGATCTACCCACTCCCTGAACAAAGAGTTAAAGATTCCTCACAAAAGGGTATCATTTTCGATGTGTTGACCATGGGCCTCAACTTATTGGGATTGGAGCTAAAATTAATAGCCCAAAACAGTAGATATACGTGTCAATTCAGAAAAGAGAATAACTTTTGGAGAAGCAAGCATGAACCTATGTCGGGGGAACACCTTTATAGTTGACAAAGATTAACTTCCAATTAGGAAGATTTAACCATTGGTCATGACGTAATCAGTGGATCCACTCCAGACACTGGGGCAAAGTATGGCCCCGGACACCCACCTCGGAGGACAACCAGACACACCCACAATAGAAATCCATGTGCCATGAGAACTATTGTTCGTAATATAATTAGTCCAATGTAGCACCCACAAGTATGCCCAATAAAGGTGGTTTTAGGTTGCCAACGATTCGAGTTTTTACTGAACAGTTCTCATGTTCCCATTTTCCAAGTCGAAGCAATTGACAGTGATAATCTTCGTAGACTTTGACTAGTGGTACAGTTTGTCTAATCTAGACGATTTTGGATCGCCAGATAGATAAGTACATTCAATCAAGAAGGTTTTGGATCACCACCAACCAGTGGTGGGGTACATAAGATAAAGGTGATTGTCAAATGATAGATAATCCTGGGAAATGGTTCTCGGGTCATGCAGTTCAAAGAAATCGATATTGACAATTTTGTGTTATCGATGGCCAATAGTGCATTTCATTTGATCAGGGTGGTTTTGGGTCCCCCAAAAATCAGTTATTCTAGAGATTTCAATCCAATTTTTGGCATGACTTGGAATCTTGTAAATGTATCTGATGAATAAATAAATAAGAGTTTGTATAAAAAAGAAAGGTATGTTAGACAATACAAGATAATCTGCTTAATGGTTTTCAACATTCCACTTTCGGGGAATGTTGATCCCTCCCATTATCAACAGTTGGTACTGGTAGCTTCAATGTCACTAAAGCTTACAACACTTGAAATAATCAAAGTGAGGAGAATTAAGCTGCCCCTTGAGTTGGATTAGGCCAATAATAACAATTGCCATTCAAGATATCCTTATCTATCGAGGTCACAAACAATGAAATCCACTACCTCTACTAAATTACTTATGTATAACCATGCCTGTATAAAGGGATGTGAAGGCAGCCAAGGGATGCCTAGGCTCTCTTAGAGTCCCAGTTATTACTCGTTTAGCTTGATCATTTGTGAACATGACCATCAAAGGCAACCATGCCATAGCGAACCCTCATGCCCCTGGGAATTGCAGCGCATGGTCCATGTCAACTCTCACTAACTAGTTCAGAGGACGACCAACCAAAAGAATTAAGCATCTCCAGTTCAAATTTATATCTAATGGTGATTGCAAGAACCATATTTAGTCATAATGTGCAATGTCAGTGTCATAACAGTGATAAGCATGTCAGACTAAGTAGACATGAACACCAAATTTCCTTTTAGCAAATACAAGCTTTCTTATTCAGTCCACAGCACATGAAGTCTCATATCAGCAATCACCACTAGTCAAATAAATCCAGTAGTGAAACAGAAAGAAGGACTCACAAGATCTGATGTGCTCTGGACTTGCAGCCATCGGATTGAACCCAACGATGTGGATTGGTGTGCCTGGAATCAAAGGTCGCCCAAAGAATTATGGCAAATAACAGAATGCAAACAGATTAACCACACAGGATAGACCATATAAGAAGTTCCGATTTCATTAAACTAGCAGTCAAGAAAAATATATTATATTCCCACGAGAATCACTTACCAGACGAGAGCGTAGCTTCGAGAGCGCCGCAACACTCCGGAAGAACACCATGGATCCAGAAATCGCCTGCGATAAGCATTATATCAAGACAAAGAACAACAACAGAAATGAAAGTCAAGAAAGAAATCACATACAATAAAGATCTGAGTCCAGATGAAAGCAAACAATAAACAGAAATAGATCCGATTGAGTTAGGGTTTTGGTGAACAGACGGGGTTAAAGATGACATGATCGATGAGAAAAACCAGCGCAAAGGGTAAGACGAACTACCCGAAGCGAGAGGATGGAAACTGGGAAAGGGCGACTCGAGAAAGCGGTGGCGGGCGGGTGGCGGAAGCCAAGAAAGAGGACTTTTAGATCATTTTTAGGGAGTGGCCAACTGTGTTTATTTATTTATTTATTTTTTTTGCCACCCGTTTCTTCGTTTTACCCCTCTCCCTACTAATTATGATTGGAGGCGGAAATGGGGCCCTTTATTACCCTTTTCCGAAATGGACTCTCCTTTTATACCCTCTTTTAAATAGAGACGTGCTTCATCTCCAGAATAATAGGAACGTCACCGCTTACTCGGACGGCTGAGGAAGATTTGACCCGATTAAAGATCGTACCGGACGGCTGAGAGGGATTTGACTCCACCTAAAGGTCGAGTCGTTGGAAGGAACTTGTAGGCCGCGTGAACCAAACGCTGCACTGCAGATCGGACACCGTGCAAGAGGCAAATTTGGAAATGTACTCTTCTTTTCCCCTCGCGTAAACCATGCTGCGTGATCCAAAGGTCGCTCCAGCTCAATGTTCCTCGGGTTAGGGTCTAATTGCAACCACGCTAATCTTTGCAGTGGCAGTGGCTGCAAAGCTAGCAGCAGCTGCATCCACACCAGCAGGGGGAGGCGGCTCAAATCGGCCTCCCAGTCTTTTTCCCATTGGGGGTGCCATTAGACCATCAACAGTGGATAGAATGGGCTTGCAGCCTTCGGATGTGTTGCACCTGTTGCATACGCCGGTGTTGATGGTAGGTGCAGAAGCACCATCATGAACGGCAGGAAGAACCATTGGATTGCCGAGGTTGGTCGACGAAGAAATTTTCTTGCTAACCAGAAATTTCTTGCTAATAAATCAGAAAATCGTAAATTTGACCGACCAAATCACTGCGACATGGGCAAATAAATCAAGGGAACCGAAGAAACCTGATTCGGAGGAATCTGCGGCGACTCACGAAGAATGATGAGAGGAAAACCAGCGGCTCCGAGCCTTGGAAGCAGCTCTAATGGCGTTTAGGGTTTCTTTCGCTCCAAAAACAAACCCTAGGGCTTTTGGCCCATTTAGAAATCACCAGCGATCGACCGGCCCAGCAAAAGGCTCGATGACATCGAGCCAAACCCAAGCCTTAAACCCTAACCCACCCGTGGCTCGACGGCAAATTCATTGAAACCCCCTCGATCTCTCCGCACCTGCGACGAACCGGTCGCAGCGCCTCGGTCTCATCGAAACCTCTTTCATTTAAGGAGCGGGGCGGCCTCCGATCGATCCAGACGCGAACCCCGCGCATCCTCCTCCTGCAGGTGAGAGATCGCGTCATCCTGATGTGATTCTCATGGTTTCTTTGGTCTTGTATCTGGCATTTCCGCCGTCGATGATGAGATATGGCCGCCGATCTCTTTCTCTTAGGAAGGTCGATGTGTGGAATTTGTTTTGGTTGTATATTGTAGATTAGCTCTGAAACAAGTTTGGAGCGATTAAATTGATTGACTTTTCGTGCGAAATCCTTAATTTGGTGCATTCTGTTGTACTGAAACTCCAAGATCGAGCACAAGGGACGAGATGAAATCTTACCCATGGTGGTGTCTATGCGAGGAATCATACAGTGAACTGGAGTTTACATCTCATTCTAAGCTCAAATAGTGGAATGCTTCGCTCTTGAATGACTTGGTTTCTTGTTCTGCTTTTTTCTTCAATGCATGCGGAGTTAGTCGATTCTTTCATGAACTGCATTTATTAGTTGTGTTTTGGCAACATGATGTGTGTTTTCACCGGATTACGTGCGGTTGTCTATTGATTGATACATGGAATTCGTAGCTTACTTAATACCTGAACTAATTGACTTTATCTTTCTAAGATGCTAATATGGAGTTGAGCTTTCCTGTGATTCGGAATGTTGGATATAAGTTGTTTGTATGTTTTTCAGACTTGTTGTTCGTTGGATCAAATTAGGGTATCTGAAGCCAAATCACTGGGTTCTGTCATGGTTCATCCAGGTTTATCTGACGTGTGAAGAACAATGGGGGCATCCGCAGCTGCTGGCTTGCAAGCTGTGGTAGCACGGCCTTACATCATTTCTCCTACACGAATGTTCACATCGACGACAACAATTTCTGGGTTCAACCTGAAAGTAGCCAAACAAGGATTAACAAACTCATCTGGCATCTTCTCTCGCCAATCTCTTTGTGAGAGATATCCGTCAGCCTCCTCAAAGAACTGCAGAGTTGTTACTAGGGCAATGTCTGGGGAAACTGAGAAAGGGACTGCATACGGGTTGCCTATTGATCTAAGAGGTACAGGATTCGTAGTAGTTTAAACAGTTTTTTGCCTCTTAGTTTAATTTAGAACTTCTTTCTTCTCGTATCATATGTAGCTTCTGTATCTTGCACCAAATTAGATTGATTACCTGAAATTGTTCTCTTTGCTTAAAATATCAAATTTTGTAATGACTTTGCTTTTTTGTGAAAAATCTTTTCAGTTTCCTGAGAAGTTAGATTTTTGTGATTTTTTTTCTCGGTTCTTTTTTCACATAATGAGCCTTTTAATGATTTATCAGGAATCAATGGGTGCAGATTGTTGTTCTCATTGCTAATAAGAAGAAAGTATAGAAAGGAGCTTGTACGAAGAAAATAGAAAAACAAACTACTTTCTGATTTTAAATTAGCTTAGGATTGTTTTTGTTTTGCAACGTTGGAGTTTTGGTGAAACTTGTTATACGCAGCTGATATATCCATCTGAACATTTCAGATTCTTTTGTCAAATGATTTTCAGATCAATAATACATAGTTCAGCCATTTGTAACTTCACATTGTTGTGCTTCGCTTAGTTAAATATTACACTATCTGATCCTTTGAGATTTTCCAGGTTCCCCTTGAAGCCCTTAGACATCTTTTCCCATTATATCTTATGACAGATCATTGCCTAATTCCTTAACCTCATATCTTTTAAACTACTAGAGATCAGATGATCACTTATGCTTGGTTCCTGAATTTATGATAGTGTTACACATTTCATATCACTAACCTGTACTTCCAAGTGGAGATACCTCCATCCTCCTCTTGATGATTAGCCACTGTTTCATCTTTGGTAAGCTTTAAGTCCACATACCAAATTCTTTTTTTCAGGTAAGAGAGCATTTATTGCTGGAGTGGCTGATGACAATGGCTATGGTTGGGCAATTGCAAAGGCTCTTGCTGCTGCTGGGGCTGAAATTATCGTTGGTACATGGGTGCCTGTATGTCAATTTGAACTCTAATTAATTTTTCCATTTGTTTTGGGTAACTACCTATCAGGTTTTCTAATGGCCCATACTATTGCCTTTAGGCACTAAACATTTTTGAGACAAGCTTAAGGCGTGGAAAATTTGATGAGTCACGTCGGTATGCACTTTATGAGAGTCATATGCATTTATGATTTGATTTATTTGTTTCCTTTTAATGTATAAGCACAGCTTCCCATGGCTTGTAACTCTATGAAGTGGTTATGTCAATGATTGCATTCTGCAGATTGCCAAATGGTTCACTTATGGAGATCTCCAAAATATATCCTCTTGATGCTATTTATGATACACCTGAGGATGTTCCAGAAGATGTATGAAACAAATGCCTATAATACTATTGTTCCTTTGGTCTTTTCTTTTTCCTTTTTCAATCATAAACAGTTTTTGGTGTGTTATTATCATTTTAGGTCAAGACAAATAAACGTTATGCAGGATGTTCAAACTGGACTGTTAAGGTAGACCATCAAATCCTTGTCTTTACCAAACTATGTTCTTTTATTTCACATTATACATATCTTCTTGCCACTACACAGAGTGCAGCAGTCTGATCTCTGTGACAATGGTGCTTTTGAATATCATATTGGTTGTCTTCTGATACTGCAGTTTTTTGTTATTTGCACAGGAAGTTGCTGAATCTGTGAAGAATGATTTTGGCAGCATTGACATTCTTGTGCATTCTCTTGCCAATGGCCCGGAGGTATTATTCCTTCAATTTGTGTGTGTGTGTGTGTGTGTGTGTTGGTTCAAAGTCATAATTTATATGAACAGGTAACCAAGTCACTGTTGGAGACATCTAGAAGAGGATACCTTGCTGCGATCTCAGCATCAAGTTACTCTTTTGTTTCATTGCTCCAGCATTTCCTCCCAATAATGAATTCAGGTTTATTTCATTTCCTTAAAACATTACATATGCCATATTTTATCATGGGTTGTGTAGGTGTCTTTTTAATACTGGTGACAACTGTTAATTTAGGTATTGCTTTCTTGCTGATTAAGATGAGTTGAGTGGTGGGTTAAGGGTTTATCCTGCTAAACTTGATATCGGTTAAGGTGGAATAGATGAATCTCCTCAATGCAACTTAACCTAGTTGATATTGGATAAAATAACCCATGGGAAGATGTGAAATTGATTAATCCACCACTTTTTGTGCCTATAACCACCCTTTCCTTATTTTTCTTTACATGTTTCCTCTTGTTAGTCATGTCTATCTTAGATAGACTATCTTTATCTACCAAATGATATTTTGGTTGGCAGCCAAACTTAAATGGATTAGGATAAATTAACCTGAATATTTTAACCCTCAGGATAGTATAAAAAAAACCTGAATAGTAGGAGCCCTTCTCTATATGTTTGACCTTGTAGGAAATTGGAAACAAATATCACATTATAACAGCAGCATTTTATATGTAGATCTAGGAAAAGTGAGAGGGAGGTCAGATGTAGAAGAAGGATCAAGATCATTTAAAATTACCTAGGAATAACTTATGCAATTTAAAACAAGAATTAACTGAAACATTTTAAAACTAACAGGGTTGTAACAATCCCTCATCATATAAGTCACCCAAGTAAATCAACAAACTTTTTAGTTACCTCTCAAGTGCTAGTTGGACTGATGGATCTAATTTTTTACTTCTTTGCTAAAGTTTTGATATTTTCATCTATTAATGCTTCAATTTTGCAAATGTGTTAAAACCAAGTTTAAAATCTGCAACTCAATGTGGCAGGGGGTGCTTCAATATCTCTAACATACATTGCCTCTGAAAGAACTATCCCAGGGTATAATCTTTCCTACCTTCTTGCTCAAAATTAGTTAATATGATGTTCAAATTATATATTTATCTTTTATTTAAACTTGTAGATATGGTGGTGGAATGAGTTCAGCAAAAGCAGCCTTGGAGAGTGATACCAGAGTAAAGTCTATTTTCTACAAAGTGTCCTGAATTTTTGAATGTTTTAGCAAGGTCTTTATTGCTGCTTTTTAATTGTTTTTTTGTACTTTTGTTCCTGGCTGTAGGTGCTGGCTTTTGAAGCCGGAAGAAAAGGCCAAATTAGAGTCAATACAATATCTGCAGGTATTTTTCTTTGCAAGTTCTAATTATGTT